CCTTTTAAAGAAATGAATAATAAGGCTGGCGCCGTGGCTCAATAGGCTAATCCTCCACCTGCAGCGCCAGCACCCCGGGTTCTAGTCCCATTTGGGGAACTGGATACTAGTCCTGGTTGCTCCTCTTCCAGTCCAGCTCTCTGCTGTGGCCTGGGAGGGCAGTGGAGGATGGCCCAAGTCCTTGGGCCCTGCACCCACATGGGAGACAAGGAGAAGCACCTGGCTCCTGGCTTCAGATCAACGCGGTGCGCCGGCTGAAGCACACTGGCCGCCATGGCCATTGGAGGGTGAACCAACGGTAAAGGAAAACCTTTCTCTCTGTCTCTCTGTCTCTCTGTCTCTCTCTCTCTCTCTCACTGTCCACTCTGCCAGTCAAAAATAAAAAAAAATAAAAAGAAATGAATATTTTATATATTATACATAAAATTTATATATATGTAAAATATATATAAATATCCCATCCATCAATCCATGGGTATCCAGGATGGTTCATATCCTGGCTATTGTGAATAATGCTACAGGGAACACAGGAGTCCTGACTTCTCTATGAGGTTCTGACTTCCTTTCCTTTCAGTTCATGCCAGCAGAGGGATCGTGGGTTCTATTTTTTATTTTAGTACTGTTCATGCTGTTTTCCTTTGCAGTTGTAGTAGTTTATATTCCCATCAACAGTATACAAGTGTTCTTTTTTTCTCAACATCTTCACTAGCAATTTTTATCTTTTGTCTTTTCTATATATAATCTCCCTAATGGGTATGAGTTGAGAGCTCATTGTAGTTTTGATTTGCATTTCCCTAATAACTAGTGACGTTGAGCAGCTTTTCACATATCTTTTTGTCGTTTCTTTGTCTGCTTTGAAAGATTCTCTACTCAGGTCCCTTGACCATTAAAAAAACTGTGTTATTATTTGTTATGGACTTGTATGAGCTCTTTATTTTAGATAATCTCTTATTGGATATATGACTTGCACACATCTTCTTCCAAGTAGTTGCCATTTCATTTTGTTGATTGTTTCCTTTGCTGGGTAGAAGTGTCTTAGTTGGATGCACTCCAAGTTGCTTATTTTTGTTTTTGTTGCCTATGATTTTGGTGTTGTCAAAATTAGTGATTGCAAAGAACAGTTTTAAAGAGCTTTCCCCTATTTTTTCTTCTAGCTTTTAATGTTTTCAGGTCTTACATATAAGACTTTAAAGCATTGTGAGTTAGTTTGTTTCAACATTTTATTTATTTGAAAGGCATAGTTACAAAGAGAGAGAGGGAGACACACACACATACACACACACACAGGGGGAAAGAGAGAGAGAGAGAGAGAGAGAGAGAGAGAGAGAGATCTTCCTTCTGCTGTTAAGCCCCAAATGAACAAGAAACTACGAGCCAGGAGCTAGGAGCTTCATCTGGGTCTCCCACCTGGATGCAGGGACCCAAACACTTGGGCCATCCTCCACTGATTTCCCAGGTGCATTACTGGGATCTGGATCTGAACTGGAGCAGCCAGGACTTGAACCGGCACCCTTATGGGATGCTGGTGCTACAGGCAGTGGCTTAATCACTACTAGCAACAATGCTAGAACAGTGAGTTAGTTTTTCTAAGTGATGTAAAGTAGGTATCCAACTTCATTCCTTTGCATCAAGATATCCAGTTTTCCCAGCACTATTTTGAAGATATTCTTCTTTCTCCATGGGATGTTCTTGTGTCCCTTTGAAATACTTGTTGGTTGTATCTTCTTAGATTTATTCCTGAATTTTCCTCTCTGTTCCATTAATATGTTTCTATGTCAGTATCATACTATTTTTTTCTTTTTTTTTTTTTTGACAGGCAGAGTGGACAGTGAGAGAGAGAGACAGAGAGAAAGGTTTTCCTTTACCGTTGGTTCACCCCCCAATGGCCACTGCGGCCGGTGCACCGCGCTGATCTGAAGCCAGGAGCCAGGTGCTTCTCCTGGTCTCCCATGGGGTGCAGGGCCCAAGCACTTGGGCCATCCTCCACTGCACTCCCGGGCCACAGCAGAGAGCTGGCCTGGATGAGGAGCAACCGGGACAGAATCCAGCGCCCCGACCGAGACTAGAACTCAGAGTGCCGGCGCCGCAGGCAGAGGATTAGCCTAGTGAGCCTCGGCACCGGCTGAGTATCATACTGTTTTGATTACTATAGCTTTCTAATACAATTTAAAACCAGGAAATCTGATGTCCGCACCTTTTTTCTTCTTTCTCAGGAGAGTTTTAGCTATTTCAGATCTTCTGTGGTTCCACACACAGTCTTATTTTCTCTATTTCTATGAAAAACGTCACTAGAATTTTGGCAAGGCTTGTGCTGAACCTCTGTATTGCTTTGGATGGTGAGGGCATTTGGACATCTTTTCTTGCTTATTTGCTCCTGGCGAGTCCTCTTTGGTGATGTCTCTTCATGTGTTTGCCCTGGTTTATGTGTGTTTCTCTTTAAAGATCCTTTACATAATATATTCATATATTGTTGACTCAGTCAGCAGTACCCTACCTGATGCCTGAGTGCAATTTCTTGAATACATTTATTTCCTGTAAGGTGCCCCCAGGTCTTCCTGCACATAGGATGGCTACTTCAGCACTGCCTTTAGCAGTCATTTCAAACAGCACAGTCACCAGCAAAGAGCACAAGAATAAGGTGACACCCAGACTGCAGATTTGTTCGACTTCCATTGGGAATTTGGGCATCAAGTGGGTCACATTTGCGCCCCTGTACTTGTGTTTGTGAATGCCCATACTGTGTGTCTTGTATTTCGGATTATAAACACATTTTAATGAGTAGGCAAATTCGCAAATACAGAGTACACAAAGAGTGATGGTCAGTAGCGTATAATTTGCAAATATTTTCTCCCATGCTGTAGCTTTCATTTTAATCCTCTTAACAGGATTCTTTTGTTCTTTCATGGAACAGCAGTGTTTAATTTTAGTGAAATTGATCTTTTTTTTTCTTTTATGGATCATGCTTTCAGTGTCAAGTAGAAGAATTATTTGTGTAGCTCTATATCTAGGATATGTTCAGTAACATTTTGTATTTCATTTAAGTTTTATAGCTTTATAGTTTCATTATGTTAGTGATCCATTTTGATGTAGTTTTTGTGTATGTGTGAGATTAAACATGACACTTGTTTATTTGTTGCTGTTTTGTCTGTGGTTATCCAATTGCTTCAGGAGAATTTATTGTAAAACAGCCTATCCTTTCTACAACAAATTTCTGTTAGCACCTTGGTCAAATGTCATAGGGCATATTTATGCCCTTGTTAATGCTGGGTGGAGGGTGGGAGCCCAGGCTCCCTACGTGGTGTCCTTTTAAACTGGGGTAGATGGGGCTCTCATTATTCATAGCTCTGTCAGCAGAGTTGGAGAGAGAAGGGACAGTGTGAAGCTCAAGGCACGGAGTTCACTTGATGTTATTCAAGACTGAGCAATGTTGAAGATGATGGGGAGAGAGAGAGAGCGCAGGTGGATCATGTGAGAGATGCTTTAAGGAATTTGGCTTCTCTGTAGTCCAGGAAGTCTGCGTTACAGAGAAACAGATGGTTTAAAACATGGTAGAGAATAGACCTACAAACTGAGTCTCTGTTGTGTTTTAACACATACAAATAACCTCTTCCTTTAGAGATATGGGTGCCCAGTGTTTGTTGAGGCATTGCCAGACACGTTCTCCAGTGTGTTTCTGTTCCCTTACCTTCAGCATATCACTCCGTTTGCAAATTCCATCATTCCAAATCCCCATGCTATCAGTAATCTCTCTTAAGTCCCCTACTTTTGCTGTAAGCATAGAAGCATCTGTGGAAGTTCTGAGCTTTGCAATCAGCAACCTTTCGCTGGTGAGCACTTGGGGACATTTGTGGCGTCACCGCTGCTCTCCTCATCCATTGATTTTTAAGTCTGTTGGGAAGCGGAATGTCAATATGCAAAGTGCAATAGGGTGGACCGTGAGCTCATTGGTCTCCCACGGCTCGGCGACCTCATGGCTGGGGGAGTGCCATGCTATTGTCCCAGGACCACTTTGACTTCACTTGCAGACTGTTTCTGCTGGCAGTGTGGTGTCTGTTGTGATGAACAGAGGAGGTGTACAACAAAGACTGTGTATCCACCACCACTGGTTTATAGCTGTAGCCTGGGTGACCTCATTTCCAAGCTGTGTGACTTTGAATACATCATGTAGCTTCTCTGAACTTGTTTATGCATCTATAAAATGTGGAATAAACACAGCAAATTACCTCTCGTGACTTTGGGTTCTATAAAAATAGAGCAGGAGCACATGTTTGCCTAGTGGTTAAGATATCTGGGTTCTACTCCTGGGAGCCCAGGTTCAATTCCCAGCTCTGGTTCCTTACTCCAGGTTTCTGCTAACACAGGTCCTGGGAAGCAGCAGTGCTGACTCATGCATTTGGGTTCCTGCCACCCATGTGGGAATCCTGGATTGCACTCTTGGCACCTAGTTTCACCCTCAGCCCAGCCTAGGCTGTTGCAGGCATTTGGAGAGTGAAACAGTAGATGGGATGGGTTTCTCTATCTGTCTCAGTCTCTGTATGTTTTTCTATCTCTCAAAAAAATAAAAACAGTAAACATTTCCTTGAGTATCCTTCCAATTGAAACTCCCAGACAGCATATATAAATCAAAACAAAAGAAGACCCTTAACCATAGAGAACAAAGTAGACAGGCTAAGGGCCTCAGAACCCAGCAAACCACATAGCAGTGAGTTCTCTACATTTTCTTTTAGCCTCTGTCCCAGGCTGATACTGGGGAAACCAGTAAGCCAGAAATGCTAACAGCCACAGGCAAAGCTGCAACAAGAAAGCCTGTTCCCTTTAGCCAGTGGTTCAGGAAGGTGGGGTAAGTGTTCTTGTTGCTGACAAAATGTACATCTTTTTGGTCCACGTGGTGTTGCATGCTGCCTAGAAACTCCCATGGTCCCCTGAGTCTTTCAGGATTAAGTGCAGATATATAACCAAGGAGCCGATGTTCAGCAGTCTGTCCTCTGCTCTCTTCTTAGGTATTACCAGATCCGAGTGACCTTGAAGGTATCCTCAAGGATCCCCCACAGACTGAGTGCCTCCATCGTTGGGCAGACAGGTGAGCAGAAGGATGCTGTGGGGTGCTTGCCCCCTCCCGGAGCTAAACCTTCGGTCATCACCCCATCACCCCATGCAAGGGTGCAGCAGCGTGCACAGCACCCACAGGCATGCGGTAAATCATTTTCAAGAGTTGGATACGTATTTGGAAATGGAATCTGCTGTTGCAAGTGGCCATGCCTGTGTATTGTTATAAGGGGAATCTGGTGAAAGGGAAACACGCTCTCCTAGGAACAGCTGGGGAAAAACTGGCTGTGTAGGGCCGAGTCAAGTCAGAGCGGAAATGGTGAGAAATGCCACCGAGTAGGCAGGCAGGGAGATGGCTGTTGTTAAAGGCTATATAGGTGGCTTCACGGGAAGCAGCAGTGAATACTTCCCATCCAGAATGAGAGGTCCTAAAGCAATGCTTCCATCCTGGGGAGAAGGATTACCGGGGACATTCCAGTTCCTAATCTCAAGGGAGCAGGAGTTTTAAGTCAGGACCTGAGTGATCCCAGCAAGTACTCTGTAATACATTGTGGGGTCAGAAATACAGAACATATTGCATAAGAAATTGGTTAGGCATTAGATCAGTAAGTAGAAATATAAGTAGTGCCTCCTTAGTGAATCTGAGAGAACTACGTAGACGAGCTAGACGTCTATAGACATCTGTATAGATGAGCTATATTAGACGAGCTATGTAAGGAGAAAGGCTTAGCGTAGGGGAGAGAAAAGAAGGCAATAAAAAGTAGAGCTGTAGAAAATTTGTTTAATTATAAAAGCAAGTCTAGCCAAAAAACATTATGGACATCATATCCAGCAGAGCTAAGAGTTCTGGTCATAGCCACATTTTGTAAGATTAATTTGGAAGCAGCAGTGATATTATGGTGAATGAAGTCACATACAGTTGAGTGCCCACTGTTCACAGTGCAGTTGCAGTGGTCTACTTAGCTCCACCACGGAGGAACAGGAATGTGAACTGCATGGCTGTCAGGCGAGACCTATAGTTTCTGAGCTATTGGCCAATAGAAACTGTGATCTACTAAGGAGAAAAAACACTGCTAACCACCTGCTTCTAGCCTGACTGTGGGCAGAGCAGTGTAAGGAATGGTCAAGTCACCATATTTCCAAGGAGCTCCTTCTCCCACTCCATGCCCTTTCCTAGGAAGAAATCAAGTACCAGGGACTGGGAACAGGTGGCTGCCACTGCTCTCTGTCCTTTGTCCATTCAGTGGGATTAGAGAGGCCTGCATTCCTCTCCTTGTCTCCCATGCTGTGTTGTCCACCCCATCCTATCCCCTGCACCAACTTCCAGCAGAAGATTGATGGCATCCACAGAGAGTACGGGGTTTGGATGCTGACACTGTGGGATGAACTAGTGAGGGGACCCCTGGTGTGTTATCAGCACCTTCAGCTTTGTTCTCTCACCTGAAATGAGGATACCGACCCATGACCAGTAGCATGTGCAGGACTGTGCCAGGGTGAGGGTGCACGGCACCGTGATTTCTTCCACACGATGAATTTCTCAGCCGCATTACTGTCAGCTAGATCCTACTGTATTATGGAGTACTCCAAAGCTTAGTAGTTTAAAACAATGATTGTTTTGTCTGTTCTGGTGTTTCTAGTTACATGGCCTTGGCTAGGGTCATGTGTGTGCTGCTTTCAGCAGAGGGATCAGCTGAGAGAGAGAGAGAGAGAGAAAGAGAGAGAGAGAGAGAGTGTGTGTGTGTGTGTGTGCAGGGCATCCAGGATGCCTCACTCATGTGTCTGACCCCCAGTTGGGCTGGCTGGGCTAGGTAAGGGAGTGCTGAACTGCTGACCACTTGGGTGGTCGACTTCTTTCAGTTCACCAATAGTGTGTGGAAGATTCCAGGCCAGTTGAGTGTTGCACAGGTACTGGTACAGGGTCCCTCCACCCCAGATTCCACTGGTCAAAGCAAGCGATGGGGCCAGCCCAGCGTCCAAGGCAGACACAGACCTTGCTCCTGCATAGGTAGCACTGTCTGTGCAGGGATGGGCAGTGCTTTGGCAGTCATCTTTTCAGACGTCTGAGCCCTGCATCTCTGAAGGAAAACATAGGGAAAAAATACATTTTGGCAGCCAATTATGATACATTGAAAAGGCGGAGCTGGGAGGACTCTAACGGAATCTAACTGTGTCTTTGGCATCCCTTAGTTGAATGATCATATTGGGACACATTATTTGACTGTTTTCTTCTCCTTGTCTCTCAAATGGACACAGAAAAGCTCTCTGTTTAGAGAAGCTGCAGGGATCCAGGTTTAAATCCTATTTCAATCACTTCTAAGCTGCCTGAATTTAGACACGTGTTTTTCCCCAGTCGTTTTTCAGGTTCCTCATCTATAAAATGGGTATGGTAGGTGGCACTCACCTCCCAGGTTTGTGGTAGGCATCAGATGGATTTTTGCAGGGTTGGAAAGCTGCCTGACACTACTAGTAGGCTCCTGGTAGCTGCCAGATAGGTTAGCAGCTGCTGTTAACACAGGGAGTGGTTGCCTACTTAACAGTGCCCAGTCCTCTGCTGGTCCTGGGCCCCGTGTCTGGGCACGAGAAGCTGCCTTCTCCCTGGCAGGGCTTGAAGTCCTCTCCAGCAGACAGAGGAGAGCCAGATGGGCACTGCAGAGGCAGAGTGTTGATGACATCAGGTGGGTCGAGAATCTGGGGGCTCCGCTGCAGAGGGTCTCTCCAGCGAGGGCACGGAGCACAAGCAGATCTGGTCCCACAGGCAACAGTAGGGCAGAACAATCCTGGCAGAGGTAACAGTGTGCCATGTCACCAGGACCTGCGTAGAGCAAGGGCGTTTATGGGACAGTGCCGGATCTGATGTCGCTGCCGGTGAGGGTGGGGCTGACATGAGAAGCGCAGCTGAGGCCACGTGTGCAGGCTGCCCTGTGCCATCCTGGGGGCACTGATTTTGTCTCAAGGGCACAGCCAGATGCAGTGGAACACTTTGATGGCATCAACTCAGCGCTGTTCAAACACATGGTGTTGTTTCAAGGAACAGAATTCTGTTTCTGCTTTCTTTTAAAATATTCAGTTCTCTAATAGTGACATTATGTGGAAACATATTTCAGTTTTATAGGTCATTGAGATAGATTCCCTGTTATCTTATTTTACAAGCTGGATATTTGTGACTAGATCCCGTGAATAAAATGCAATAATAATTCCCTCCTTGCATGACGCCAATACCATTGTGCTGATTTTTTTTTTTTTTTGCAACATTTCTTTAAAAAGTGCTTTGGGAACGATTTCTCTGGAACACTGCAGGTTTGTTCTGGTCCGACTTAGCTGTAGGAGTGCGTTCCATTGAGTAGACTGGGGCAGGCTTTGGCCTCACACTGGTTTGGAACAGTTCTGCCCTTAGACATTCTGGAAAGATCCACGCTCCAGGGACAGGACAGGCTTGTGAATTGGTGACAGCTCTAACAGTGTCAGATGTACTCATGAGCCCTGATACGCAGGACACAGGGAGCCACTTCTGTGTAGGTGTGAAACACTGAGGAGGTGCTGGCTCAGCTTGGGAGGGGGTCAGTGTGACTCAAAGGCCACAGGTCTCTGTCCTTACTGGAGTAGGAAAGTGGAAATTACCAATGGCTGTCAAATGGCTCACTGAGCCCAGGACATCCATTGATTATTCCAAAACACAGAAGAAAAAAAGCCACCGCGACATCTTCCAGTCCCCCTTTAACTGTGGGATGAATCAGTGACAATCACAGCGTGAGGAATTTGGTTATTAGGGAGGCAGGTCCTGCAGGGAAGAGGACCTACCACTTGTCCACCAGCACTGCCTGTGACAGAGTAAGCCCTTCAGCCTCTGCACCTTGGGCGTCTTTTGTTGTAATGGGGCTAATATCCACCTTTGCCTAGGGGACATGGGGTGTGCTGGTGAAGCCCCTCACACAGTGCGTGGTGTAGAGAAAGATGGTAGCTGGAGCCCAAAGAGACATCCCCTGGACGGTGGTGACCTGGAGAGAGGTTACACCAGGATGATGTGATGTCTTAGAGACAAAAGGACTCTGCAGGCCAATGGAGCTGAGTGGACAGGACGTTGTTGCTGGATTCAGCCTGAAGTTGAGATGAGAGGATGTGGGTGTGCTGCTTCAGCTAGGTCGCAGGACCGAGCCCGTAGCCTGCAGAGGTGCTGATGGGTGTATTGTCCTGCTTAAAGACTGATGCAAGGCCGGCGCCGTGGCTCAATAGGCTAATCCTCCACCTTGCGGCGCCGGCACACCGGGTTCTAGTCCCGGTCGGGGCGCCGGATTCTGTCCCGGTTGCCCCTCTTCCAGGCCAGCTCTCTGCTATGGCCAGGGAGTGCAGTGGAGGATGGCCCAGGTGCTTGGGCCCTGCACCCCATGGGAGACCAGGAAAAGCACCTGGCTCCTGGCTCCTGCCATCGGATCAGCGCGGTGCGCCGGCTGCAGCAGCGGCCATTGGAGGGTGAACCAACGGCAAAGGAAGACCTTTCACTTTCTGTCTCTCTCTCTCTCACTGTCCACTCTGCCTGTCAAAAAAAAAAAAAAAAAAAAAAAGACTGATGCAGATGGGGTCAGTGTTGTGTCTTAGCAGGTAAAGCTGCTGCCTGGATGCCAGCATCCCATATGGGCACCTATTTATGTCCCAGCTGCTCCACTTCTAATCCAGCTCCCTGTTAATGGCCTTGGAAAGCAGCAAAAAATTGCCCAAGAGCTTGGGACCCTGCACCCATGTGGGAGACCTGGAAGAAGCTCCTGGTTCCTGAGTTCAGCCTGGCCCAGCCCTGGCTGTTGTGGCCATTTGGACAGTAAACCAGCAATGGAAGCTTTCTTCCTCTGTCTCTCCCTTTCTGTCTGTCTTCCTTTCAAATAAATAAATACATATATAAAAAAGAGCGATGCAGACAGTGAGCGGCTTTTCCCAGGACTCTTGTATCCAGGTGCACTCTTGTCAGAGCTCTGCTATGCACTCCCTTCAGACAGTGGCTATCACGAGGCCCAGTGACAGGGTGTGTCGGCCCCAGCTGTCACG